GGGAAAGATTCTTGGCCTTAATCTTTGAAATGTCAGAAAGGAAAAAGAAAGTGGTAGAAAGAAAATGAACTAATCTGTGAAAGATTTCATAATAATTACACATTTATATACTTATATTTAATTATATTTACCATGGTTCTAGTTATTGATTAGAATCTTTCTGTTAGGAAATTTTCCACATCCCAGTTTTAAGATTTGCATTTCAAATACTTGTGTAAGATGCTAAGAGAATATTAGCATAAGGTGATATGCAGGTTTTTTGTTGTGTTAAGATGAATGCTCAGTTTTGAGCTAATTTGTGGATTATAATTTAGCAATATTTTCCCACTTTTTCCAGTAACTGTAAGACTTTTATGATGCAAGAAGATCCCAAGAGATATCCTAAATGTCTGTGGACTGTATAAAAGGATATTTTTTCCTTCTGCATTTCATTTCTTGGCTAAACTTATCAGCAAAAGCTATCTTTACGTATCTGCTTTCTGTCTTTGTTTCTGTCTTGTCATGGTATCTTGATGTTTACTTATGTTTATTTTTTTTCAGAGTTTTTCATGGTGATTTATAGCTTTATAGGTTAACATGTTCCTAAACTGAGTTAATGCCATGTTTTAAAGATGCTTCTTCTTCCCCGGGAAAAAAAAAATAATTTAATTTTTAGAAAGTTTTTAAGTAATTATTTTTTAAAAATCTAGACATCTAGCATATGATTTCTTTTTATCATTTTTGAAAGATTGCAGTAAATATTAAGATTAAATTTTTTTTTTAAGATATTAAAATCTTAGTTAGAAATTTTACTTTATACCTCACCAAAAGAAGTTATTGTTGTCTCCAAAAGATGTTCAGGATTTGGTTTTTTTCACCAACAGCATTATAGGAAAGATGTAGCTTGGTATTTAAAGATTCATTGCTCAGATTCCTATCTCAGATTCACTGTTTTTAGTTTATAAGCTAAATGAAACAGAATTACACATAAACTTAGTAATATTCAGGATGTTCCTATCTCATTAGTGTTAGTTCTATAAAAAGAACAGAAAATGTTCGAAATAAAAAATATATATATAAGAAAATTTCTCAAAACTTAGGCACCAGTTTTTGAATGTAAGGACCCACAAAGTACTTAATATAGTCAGTGGTAAGAGGTCCCACACCAAGGTATGTCAGAATACTAGGGATAAAGCAAACCTCTTGCAAGCTTCCAGAAAGGAAGTGATGGTGGTATTGGTGGTGATTGTGGTTGGAACAGGTTTTTTGATATATAAAGAATCTGGAATCACAGTAGTTTCAGATTTCTCAATAATAACCCTGGAAATTACTTTACTTATATTAATTATTAATATTTTTATTAGCAATTATATAACATTTACAATGTCTAGGCACTATTTTAGTGGGCTTGTTAGAGGGTTTTTTGGGGTTTTTGTTTTTGATAAAAGAGCTTTATTTTCTGAGAAAAATTTAGAAGGATTTCAAGGATATCTCATATTTGCTATTTAAATTCTCTTCAAGTTGGCAGGGAACATTTTCTAGGAAGCTGCCATTTGGGATTTTTGAATATAGGAGTAGGTTTGAGATTATAAATATACCACCATGTTTGATCCCTGATCGCTTTCCAATTTAGAACAAAAGATTACAGAGAAAAACAATCCTAGTTTTTTTTTTTAAACTTCAGCTTGCAAAAGGTATGATTTAACTTTTAAGCAAATAAAATTTTCTATCTAGTGTTATCTGTCCTTAACTAGGTTATATTTGTATACAAGTTAATGAAGAAGAATTCATTTTTATTACCTTTATACCTTCAAGGGAAGGTAGGGTTGATTTATTAGTTATTTTTTAAAAACTTTTAATCACATAAACTAGTAACTTTCTTATTTGAAAGCCTGGTTGTATTAATTTGGATAAGTGAATTGATTTGATAAACAATCCCATAATCTCAGTGGCTTAACATACTGAAGGTTTATTTAGAGCTCAGCTCACTGTCCAAGGGGTGTTCAGGCAACCTCTGAACAATGGCTCCTACCGTCTTCTAAGGCCTCTGAGTCTTCTGTTGGGTCCTCTGTAGCTTGTGGGGAAAAGAAGACAGTAAGAGCATGGAGGATCCTTAGGGAAGTTTTAGGAGCCAGGCCTTTTCACTACTTTTGCTCATATTCTGTTGGCTATTGCTAGTCCCATAGGTATACCCAATGTGAGTAGACCTGGAAGCATAGTCTAACAGTCTGACAGTGTGAGGGAATTGCACAGGGTTGCAGTCTCTGTCACTAGTTTAACAATTCTATACTTAAAAATACAAATTAATAATTAATTTTGTAATACATTCTCTTGGATAGAAAATTGTTAATTGGTATTGAGTCCATCTTATCATGTCCTGTTGAAGCAAGTTGTAAATGAACAGTTCATGATCAGATAATGTTTGGTAGTCAATTAGCATGAAAGAAAATATAAGCAGAATTAAGATGATTAATGAGACTCGAAGCAATTTTACGTTTTCTCTTCCTTCTTTGATAAAAGATTTCAAGTGAAATTCAGCAAGCAGACATAATAAAAGTGCAATACAGAAAGGAAAATTAGGATGAGGAAAAATGGGTCTAGAGGTTAAAAAGTCAAGACCATATAAAATAAAAATATATGGTTACAGTTTGATGGTGAGATTTCAGATTTATTAGTAATATTTAGTGAGTACTTACTGTTAGTTGAGCATTTGCAGAAAATCTGTGGGGAGATGTAAAACATTCCATTAGTGATTTACCCTATGCAAAGAAAAATAATTTAAACAATAAATTTTAACTTTTTACATCGGTAAAACTTGTCAAATGTGAAAATGTGAATACATCTAGTACCAAATTAAGAGTTTCAAGAGTTAGGTTTTGCAGTCTGAAGTACAATCAAATTTGATTAAACACAGCAAATTTTCTATATACCTTTTTGTGTCACATTCTTTCTACTATATTAATGAGGTTTAGCTGATAATGTTAACCCATTACATAATTTAGTCAAATAAGTTTTAAAAGGTTCCTTGGTATTGTAACAACAGCTTACAATGGAAAGAATAGTTGGGCCACTTTAGGCAGTTATAATCCAAAAGATATGAGATACATGTAATTAATATTCAATAAACATAAATAGGCTACAAGTCAGAGGAGAATAATAGATTGGTGGCTGTGTTGGTGACAGTGGTGGAAGGTTTTATTAGTGTATTAAGTGTCTAATGTGTATTAGATATCTATACACATTACCCCGAAACATAGAATCTTAAAATGTAACAAATTACCCCAGAATTGAGCATCTTAAAACAAAATATTTATGATTTCACAGAGATTGTGAAGGTCAAGAATCCAAGAGTGGCTTAGCTTGTTAGTTTGAGTTTAGGGTCTCTCAGGAGGTGACAGTCAAGCTGTTGGCCGGGACAGCAGTATCTGAAGACAAGACTGTACTGGAAGATATGCGTCACAACTCATCACATGGCTGTTAGCTTCAGTTCCTCACTATGTTGGCTTCTCCATTGGACTGCTTATGAAATATCTTCCCCCAGAACAAGTGATCTGAGAGAGAGAGTGACCAAGGTAGAAGCCAGGGTGTCTTTTTTAACCAAATCTCAGAAGTGACGTACCATCACTTCTGCCATACATTGGTCACATAGACTAATCCTGGTGTGATGTGAGAGGGAGAGTTGTACAAGAATGTGAATACCCGGAGGCAGGAATCACTGGAGACCATCTTAGAGGCTAGCTGCTGCCACAGCTGAGGTGGACTTTTAAGCTTTGACTAAGGAAAAAGATGTGGAGGAGACAGAAAAGGGAACTTGTTCCATAGTGCTTGCCCACCAGGAGATACTTGGGTGCAGCGAATCTGCTATTGGTGACATTGAGAGGAAGGGCCTGGCATTTCCATTTGGAGACTGGTAAATAAAAAGTAAGAGAGACCATTTGAAGGTGAAAAATCACAAGTTTGATCCAGAAAGCAGTGGGAATTCTTTGGAGGATTTTGCATGATGGAGTGATGTTTAAGTAATCATCAAGGAAGATTACTTAAGCTGTGCATACAACCTTATAGAGTAAAAAATAGATGACATTTTCTTAGGAGTCATAAGAAGAGATGTGGCTCTGTTCCTCCAGTGCTGCCATTGCTAAAAATCACTCCTGAGGTTTTCTATTTGAAAAAATAATCTGATTTTTAACATAACTGATTTGGTTTACTATATGAGCCATTCATGTAATTTGCTGCTTAAATCCAGAATGGCTCTTCTTTGGAAGTACTTGATCATTTCTACTTCTGAAGCTTCCAGAGTAAAACTGAGTCAAGTGTGACCACATGAATCTTATGCTATGGATAAATATATTTTATCACTCTTGAAAAATTGTTTCAAGAAGACCTAAGGTTTATTTTGGAGAGACAGGGGCTTCATTGCTTCATAATGTTTAGATGATTTTGTGGGTCTGTATTATGAATACTTTAAATATGATTTAATTTATATGTTAATAATGTTAAGGTATAGACACTACTAAGACAAATATGAATATATTAATATTTTATAAAATTTATATGGTAAAATTTCTAAAATTTAAGGAGCTGTCTTGGATTTTTTTTCATTACCTTCAGGGTTTGAGGCTTCTGGACCCCAGCTCTTGCCAGTGAGAGCACTAAATGAAGTCTTCATTGGGGAGAGTCTGTCATCCAGGTACTTTTAAACCTGTGATCTTGAGTTTGAAATTTTAATATTTTAGTAATTTTTAAGCTATTTATTTCTACAACCTAAGATTTGTGAATGATTAATACTGTATAAGTAAGAGAAATGAATTATTTAATGAAATATTTCCAAACCTTTGTACATGTTAATACATGTTAAGAGGAAAGAAGGTGTTATTACTAAAAACGTTTGTGAAACCCTAGGTTAAACAAAGTTATTCAGATTTCTTTACTGCAGTATTTCTCAGAGCCTTTAATCTATCATATAGGTGCTTTATAAATGTTTAAGAGAATGATATATAGGTATATATTTGCAGTTGATAAAAAACATTGATCTTATAGACAGTCCATATTAAAATTGTCCTACTGACTGTCTTAATGTTTTTTAATGCTGATTTATTTGTTTGCTTGTTTTGGTCCAGGATGCAGGTAAGGAGAACACATTTGGCTATCATGGCCCTTTAGATTTAATCAAGAACAGTTCTTAGCCCCACCCCTGTTTTGTCATCTATGATTTTAACATTTTTGAATGGTCTAAGCCAGTTGGTTTGTAGAATATTCCCTTATTTAGATCTGTATGATTTTTTTTTTCTTCTCTGCATGATAAGATTCAGAATGAACATTTTTGGCAAGTATACTACATAGATAATATTGATCCTTCTTAGTGCAACATCATAAAGCAAGTGTATTGACAGCTTAAGATTTGTAACCATTATTACCAAAAATTAAGGTTAGTGAAGTTTTTTACTAGGAATATAAAAATATAGTATTTTATTACTGATAAAATCTATTTTGTGAGTGTTGAATATAATTTAGGCTTAAATTGTCAGTAGAATTCTTTTGCAAAAATTTTTTTGTGTGACACCAGTTACCAGTTATAAAGTGACTGCCATAATATAAAGTTAATTTAACTCTTGGTAGCATGTTAGAACTTTCCTTCTCATTTTTGTTGATGTAAGTGAATTAGGGGTGGAAGATAGAGATGAATCTATATCCTAGTTTCCTGCTTCCAGAACCATGTGACCCTTTTAAGGTCACATCATTGATTCCCTAGTTTACCGAGAGTTTCATATATTCTGAAATTCTCTTTATTATAAGTCATATCCTTTTATAGGAAGTTTAATTATGATGAGAAAAATTTGTCTTAAAAAAGCCACATTTTAGCCAATACCTAAACTGAGGTAGGTAGTACTGAAGAGAAGAAAGCCTTGATTCAACAGAATGATTTGAATGATCTTTTTGAGTTGTAATTATTTTATTAATATAATTTTAAATGTATGCAATAAAATACATTGTGCACCCACTAGGAATATAAAGATGAATAAGGTAAAGATAGTGGTATCTCACATAAAGGTAGTAAAATACATAATTTAAAAATTATTAAAAGTAAAATGTATTCTTCAAAGAAATCAAATAAAAATATATTACTTAACTTTAAAATATGGTAAAATGTAAAGATGTATTTAATATAGTAAGACTTATGCAGCAACAGAAAAACTTTGTATATAGCATATCAAGTTTGAAACAACATGGAAATGAGTAATGGATACATTTATGTCATAAGAGAGAAGGAAGAGAATGTAACTCTAATTAGTGATATAATCTAGTCATTTTTGCTAAAGAGGCAGAAGAGAACAACAACTTCAAAATGAGATTGGAGGAGGTCTGCATTAAAATAAATAGATGACAAAGGTAAAGATGTTTTGTGAGTTTATGCTTAATTCTAGGGAAGCCATTTAATGGCTTACATTATTCTGTTTGTATATTTTAAAGGTCATAACTTCTGAGAGCTTCTACTAGTGTTGCTTTATGATTTGTACTTACTAAAAAATAACTTATAAAAGGAGGAAAATTGGGGTCAATTGATAGATTTTTTGGAAATTCAGTGAAGTCCCATTAGGAGGTTTTAGACTAAATGCTTTTATTTTTTGTGGTGGTCGTGATTTGGTTGGTTTACCCCTGATGTCTGATGCTTGTTCTTTTTGTGATCTTAGATGCCTCACCTGATATCTTTACTAAGATAAGGGCAGCAATGGGTTGGCTTCTGATGCTACTGAAAAAGATTTAACTACTGGAAATGTTAGAACTTATTTTTAAAGATTCTATGACATAGACCCTTAGGAAGAAAGGAAATGAACACTTATTGGATGCCTGCTATGTGTCAGGCACTGTGCATGTTGTGTGAGTTGTCACATGTATGCTCATAGCAGCTCTGTGAGAAAAGTAGTTGTATTGATCAGTGAAAAATTGAGCTTTGGAGAATTCAAATAACTTGCCCAAGGTCATATATGTAGTTAATTAGCATCAGAACCATCATGTAAACCCAGAATTTCTGATTCCAGATCCTGTATTGAGTTGTCATGAAAACCTGTGAAGTATTGCCAATTTTTGGACTGCCCCTGCCTGTACACGCCTTCCTACTGGCAGTGCTATCTAAGGTCATCTGGTATTATTTCTTATACAGCATCTTGTTTACTGCTTAAAGCAGAAAACAGCACTCTAAATAGTTGGTAATTATTATTTACTTTAAAATTTCTGACCTACCTACTAGAATATAAACGTCAAGAAGATCGTGTCTATTATGTTTGCCATTAAATCCCCAGTACCCACACAGTGCTTGTTAAAACATATTAGGCACTTAATAATGTTTATGGAATGAATAAATATTGAGTCCTGCCAAATGTTACCATTATCTCCATTTTATAGGGAAGTCTGTGACTCAGAGAATTGAAGTAAATTGCCCCAAATCACACAATTAATAAATAACAGAGGCAGGGTAAGCCTGTGCTCTTCTTTAGTGTATACAATAGAATTGTGGTCTTCCTGAAAACTGAAGTGCTTTGCTTGGAAAATACGAAGTGCAGCAATATTATTCCTGCCTCATTTATAATGTTCTTAGACTTAAGAACATTTTAAAAGCCCAACTTTTTTTCTTTTCTCCTATTTGTTCTAACCTAGAATGTCTTATTCTTGGGCTGTAGCAGTGGACAATTTAAGAAGAAGTATACCCACTCTAAAGGGACTGTGAGTTTTATTGCTGCCTTAAAAAAATAATCTCCCTGAAGCCAAAATTCTCTGAGTTGACTAATCTTGATAAACCTGCATGTGGGAATGACACTAAATTTGTTCATTGTTTTGGGCTCAACGTCTCTCACCTGACTATACTTTCCTTTCTCTTCACCTCTGCTTCTCTTCTATCCCCTCTTACCTATAATCTCTGGTTCTATGTGATTCTGGCATAATAGCAGCCATTCCTATGGATTCAGATGGCTTGTCTGTGTATAATAGGCTCCTAATGTACCTAAAATTCCTAATTTTCTAGGAAGATATAACAAAGCTATGAAATAGATTAAACGTGAATATTAGGCTTGCTATCTTTTATTTTTGTAGAGAATGCTGACTTTAGAGAAAAAATGACATGGAGTTATATCATGTAAAATGTTCACAAACCAAGAGCTTGGTAGGAGAAAATGAAAGGGTTAGAATAAGAGATAAATTATCCATTGAATGTTAGTATTTGCAGGCATGTCTAATAATTGTTATTATTTTGAAAAGCTGTATTTTGTTAAGGGTTTATTTTAACTTTTTTATTTGCTGGAGAAAAGTAACCCATTGTTGACCAGTGACATCATTATTTTAAGATACAGTTCACAAAATAAGCTTTTACGTGTTTCAAAAGCTTTTGAATAGTTGCAAATCATTTATACATTCATGCAGTTAAAGAATAGTGTCATTATTGCTGGTGGGAGAAGACTCAGTTGATTCCGTATTTATTAAATACTCTAAGAAATATAAATCTTTTAAAAAATTACAGTTCTTGTTCCCTAGTTTCATCCAGTGATCTAGGACTGGTTGAGATTTTTCTTTAGAACTTCATTATCTCTGCTAGCTTACTATCAATTCAAAAGGCACATTAGTATGTAACTTAAGAAACAAGAGTTTAGCAGAAACTATTGGTAACTTGAAGGATTAGATGCAGACTTAGATGTAACAAGGACTAGCTACCAAGAATGAAACTCTCCTAGGAATGGTATTTTCTTTTCGAATTCTGAAATAAGGTTCTGTATGTTTCCATAAAAGCAGTAGCAGCAATGCTAGGTAAAAATTTACAAGAAGCTCCTGTTTAAAATGTTAAAGTATTGATAGAAAGCAGGCGCATATAGATCAGAGAGGGAGGCAGACATGCAGATATTTAAAATTTTTTTTCACTTAATTAGTATTGAAATTAGCATCATGATGTGTGTGCCGACTAAGTCAGGTATGTCTGAGTCAAGCTGGCCTACTTAGATTTCATCAGCGCTGAAGGACTATGTTTATCTTATTTACCATGAGACATAAGTTCAGCCAATCCACTTTTATATTCTCAATTCACAGGGCTTCCTACTACGAGATTTCAGTTGATGATGGTCCATGGGAAAAACAGAAGAGTTCAGGGCTCAATTTGTGTACTGGAACAGGATCAAAGGCCTGGTGAGTAACTTGAGATGTTGCTTATCAACTTTTGTGAAATACTTTAAGTAATATAATTTAGTTGCTATCTCATATTGGTGTATCTAAGGCCTCTAATACGCAAGAGGTAGCTAGCCTGGTATATATTTTATCGGTTGGCTCAGTTTATGCTACACTCATTGATTGGGTCCAGGAGTCTGGCTTTGACTTCTTAGATTATAGCGCAGCCTGGATCTGGTCATTCTTTAGCTTCCCATACTAGGTTTGTAAAGAGAAAAAAGAAAATGAGAAATGTTTTTAGGGACTATATATTTTTAAAAATGAATATTTTAAGTGATAGTAAAGAAATGAAAACAAAGTACAGTACCAAAAAATATGCTGGAGGTTTGTTCATTCAAGGCCTAACTGGAGATAACCTGGGACATCCTGCAACTTGTTTACCCTGTGACCTCTCTCTGGGAAGTCTCTTCTACTTCTTAGTACACACATGCACATGCCTCCCAGACCTTTACCTGTAGCTGTCTTCTCTCTTGAGTATAAACTCATATTGTAAACTTACCTACTACATAGGATTTTAATAGCATTTCAAATTCAACACGTTTAAAACTGAATTTATTGTCTTCAGTTGTTCTCCCCGTGTTCCCTGTCTTGCTTAATAGTATCACCCTTAACCTCGACTTTATATTCTCAGGAAAACACATTATTCTTTAAAACCTTGCTCTTATCTTTGAGTCTCCCTTTTCTCCCCTATGCATTTACCAGTCTCTAAATCCTGTCAGATATAATTCAGAAGCTCTAGCCCCCTTTTTCAGTTTCTATTGCTATTTCTTTGGTATAGGGCCCCATCTTTTCAGTGAATATTCTTTGGGTCTCACCCTTTATTCTTCAGGCTGTCATTCATACTACTACCACAGAGTAATATTTCTAAAATACAGGTATATCTCCCTATTTCCTTCTGTGCTTTAAAACTTTCATTGACTCCTATGTTCACCTTGCTCAGACTATCATATAAGGCCCTTTAAGTATGACCTCCTTGCCAGCCTACTCCTGCCTGACCCTAACCCATCACACTGGAGACACTGCAAGCTACTTGCAATTCTTAGCACAAGCCACGTTCTCTCTGGGCTTTTTGTTTTTGCTCAGTGCACCTTCTTCCTGCATTGAATGCCTGAACATTCTCCCCTTTCCATCCACTGGCTGAAAATTCCAATCTTCAAATGTCATTTTCTGTAGGAAACCTTTACTTAAGACCTAGTTCCTTTCATAAGCCTAATTAATTGATCCCTTTATTTGCCCTTACCCAGCACTTTTTCCTCATCGCACTGTTATAGCACTTAGCACGTTATTAGTTTCTGATAAGCTCATACCCAGTTAGTTTGAGCAACTTGAGGCACATGGGATGGTGACTAGTGTTTTTTCTTGCTGCTTAATTTTTTGTGTGTATAGCACAGTACTTAATACAAAGTCACTTAAATACTTTTTGAATAAATGACTACATGCTCACAAATACAGCTAAAACAGTGCTTATCAAACTGACTTTAAGTTCGGATGCTTTAAAATTGAGTTTTATTTCCCCTACCACACACTTTATAGTTGAGTCCTGTGTTGATGTTGCATTTAAATAAGTATGGCTGAGACTAGAATTTCAGTCTTCTCTGTGTTGCTTATTAAAGTCTGCTTTGTCTCCCATGCTCTCGTATAGAAGCAGCTCTCTCTGTCCCTCTAACTACATCCTGTCCCTGCCACCTTGGTTATCTCAGTCCCTCTTCTTCTCTACTCAGCCCTGTGTGGCTTGCTTGCTTCTAACATGTTCTACTCTGCTCCGTGTCATAACTGATGACATTTCTTTTGTTACGATTGCATTTCCCATGTATCCTTTGATCCTTTTTCTCTTCAGAAAGTAGGGGAGAAAAGAGAAGCCTAGGGGCCAGAGGGACTGAGGGAAAATTATATGTTCTATATGTTAATAATTTCAACTTACTGCAGTACCATCTTTGAGCACTTTCTTTGTCCCAAGTAAGTATATTGTCTTATTTAAATTCTCAAAAATACTCTGGAATTGAGTGATTTTATTTTCATTAATAGAGTTTAAAAAGTCTCAGAAGTTGGCTGACTTGCCCAAAGTCATGTGGCTAATAAATGGTGGAGGCAGGGTTTAAATTCTGGACTTAACTATAAGCTGTAGACCTCATGAGCCACAGAAGGAGGAAAAGCATGGACAGTTCCCTGTGGGAGGTTGTGAGACATGCTTAGAAGTGTTGCCAATGATAGCCACACTTGTTCCCTTAGCTAGAGCTTAGTTACATGCTATGTGGCAAGAGGGGGTGGGAAATATAGCCTAATCATGTGTCCGGGGTCGGGGGGGAAGAGAGTTCAGGGATTAGCTATCCCATCTTTGCATTTCCAAAAATTCTTGCACAAGACATAGGATGTAATGGTTATGTTGCACAGCAAGTGTCTCTGCATTGTTGCATTCTCATCTCCATCCTCTTCCCAGTGTGGGATGTGATCTCTAGCACACACTAGGAGAAGTTCCACAAAGCGGGATTATTTATGTTTCCATGAGTTCTTAAGACTGTTGCCAGTCCTCCTCCATACATTCTGCCCTAGCAGACTTAATTAAGGGTGAGGAGGTGGTCTTAAGAGAAAGTTTTACTAGCTGATGAAGATATGAGACTTTGTCTTTCAATTTGGTTGTCTTTAGTAGACGTTATGTCCAGTTTCAAATCAGAACTCTTAGAATGGTGAAGGTTGTAGATCTAAGGAAAAAGTTGTGTGCTAGCTAACACCTGCTTTGGCATATAGTTTGTCTTTGATATAGAATGTAAACCACTCCTAAAGGTAGAGTGAATTGGCTGAGATTTAGATTACAACCACAGGAAATTAGTTTTAATTTAACCCCAATTCAGAGAACTTAGTTTGTGTTGATTTGTGGTATCTCTAATAAGTCATAGTTCTAGGATTGTTAGAGCATGTCTTACAAGACTTCCGTTCTCTTAAACTAAGTCTTAACTACAATAAGGAGATATAAATCATTAATATCTTTTGCCCTAAACATATTTTAATTCAGTGGCACCCTAATAAAGAGCTTATTTTTATGTGACTTTTAATTTAAAATATAATTCCAAAACAGTATCTTTCAGTAACGGGTATATTCAGAGGAATTAGAGTATAACTCATACATATTCCTTGCATTTGACATTTTCATTCAGTGTTGAGTTCTTGCTGTGAGCCAGGTAGTGCCCCAAGTGCCATTATGTCTTGTAGTGTGTGACAGTAATGCGAATGAGGTAGGTTTTGTAAACCTCATAGTAAACAATAAGTCAGAACACTCAAAGTATTTTGCTTTATACCACATAGTGAGTATGAACAAAGGTACAGAGGCAAGAATGAGCCTGGGGTGTTTGGAATGTGAAATTCAAGGACAGATAGTGGTGAAAAATAGGAAAGACAAGGGCCAGATTTTAGATATTTTTAGCAGTTTAGATTTTTTTAGAAGTTGTGTGACTATGCAACATTGTGCCTGTTCGTGTGGATTATCTACTGAGAAGAGTGAGAAGAGTTAGAGGCAGGAGAATTCCAAATAACCTGGAAGAGTTTTTTTTCTAAAAACCTTTCCTTAACCATCTTTTTAGACCCCAGCACAGAGCTTCTTTTAAAAGTTATTCAGGGACTTCCTGGTGGCGCAGTGGTTAAGAATCTGCCTGCCAGTGCAGGGGACAAGGGTTCGAGCCCTAGTCCGGGAAGATCCCACATGATGCAGAGTAACTAAGCCTGTGTGCCACGACTACTGAGCCTGTGTGCCACAACTACTGAAGCCTGTGCATGTAGAGCCCGTGCTTCTCAACAAAGACAAGCCACCCCAATGAGAAGCCTGCGCACCGCAGTGAAGAGTAGCCCAGCTCGCCGCAACTAGAGAAAGCCCACACGCAGCAACAAAGACCCAATGCAGCCAAAAATTAATTAATTAATTAATTATAAAAAATGTTATTCATGTTTGTGTTAACGTTTCTTCTTAAGTGGTTAAGCAAGGCATCTTGCTAGTAAAAGATTTCTCATCTTCAGAAACTATTTTATAATTTGAAGAAATACACATTTTAAAATATGTTAAATAATACAGAGTATACAACAAAAAGTTAGTCTCTTTCATTTCATATCTCTAGTACTAATCTCCAGTTATAACCACTCTGTATGTGCATATATTTTTTTAATATAAGTAAAACAGGTAAGTTTTATATATATATATGCACACATACATACCGTATAATGCTTTTGGTTTTTTAACTTAACATATTGTTATCTTTCCATTATCAGTACATATAGTTGTATTTTAGCCTTTTTAATATCTACATAGTATTCTACTGAGTGGCTATAATATAATTTATTTACCCAGCTTCCTATGGTTTTGCTATTATGTGCTTCCCAGTTGGTTTGCTATTATAAACAATGCTTCAGTAAATATCCTTGTATTTGTCTTTGTGTATTATATGTAGAAATATATTTTAGGATAAACTACTAGGTTGAAGAATATGTTCATTTTAAATCTTAATAGAGCAGAATTGCCCTCCAATTGCAATCTCTGTAATTCCATTAGTATATGAGAATACTTCTTTTCCCATACCCATGTCAATACATTGTCAGTTTTTAATCTTTAAAATCTGAGAAAAATCTTGTTTTCATTTGTATTTCCTCAAGTCTGAGTAAGACTGAACATTTTTTTGATATAGACCCATGAACTATTTGCCCATAAACTTTGCCCACTTTTTAAAGCTGTATAAGGTGGCTGTTGTCTTTTGGTCATTTTTTTTTTTTTCCTGATAATTTCTAAGAGTTCTCTGTACATTAAGTAGATTATTCCTTTTTCATTTTTCATATGTGTTTAGAACTAAAATAAGGAAAGATGTATATGGTGTTTTTTTCTAGGTCATTCAATATTAACAGGGTTGCACCTCAGGCTGTGGAAGATGTTCTAAATATTGGTGAGTACCAAACAGCTCTTATATGCTAAATATATTTTATTGTATGTTAGCTGTATAGTACATTATAAAATATTTTATTTAATCAAGATATTTCCCCTTTTCCTTTTTCAATAGCAAAACGACAAGGAAATTTAAGTCTTCCATTGAACAGAGAATTTGTAGAGAAAGGTCAGTGACCAATGATCATAACTACTAACACTTTCAGTTAAGTTCTGTACATATTTTGAGGATGTTATTGTGAAGTGTACTTGTCTAATTAAGCAAAGCGTAGTACTTTTTTGACTCAAACATGCTCTTAATATAATACCCCTTAAAATATATTTTAAACAATAAAAAGTTTAAAGCTGGAATTTTATATTATGATTTTTGTCAACCATGGAAATATAACCTCTGTGTCAAAACAGTGTGACTGCAAACGTGTCCTGGGGGATAGGAAAATGTAGAAAAATACACATCTGGAAATTAGGAAATGCACACCTAAACTCAGTGTGCCATTAATATCCTCTAAATGAGAAGGAATTCACTGAACTCTGATTGCTTACCTTCACATTCACTAAAATGTTCTCTTTAACTTTCTCCTATATGTCCCTGCCCAGTTATTTCAGGGTTCCTTTAAGAGAACCAGCACAGTTGGAGGAAGGATACTGATCAGCGAATTTGAAGACTAGGTTCCAACCCCAGACCAGCCAGTCACTCACTGTGAAACGATGGGCAAGACTGTTTCTTTGCTCCTCTGCTTCCTCAACTGTGGAATGAGAGAGTGGACGTAGATTGCTGGGGCATAGGAATTTTTCAAATTTATTTGTTAAATTTTTTTTTTTTTTAATATTTAAATTCGTAAACTGAAAACCACATTCATTTGATTTGCATATGAAATTTTAACACACTAAAGTATACTCATCTGCTAGGATCATTTTCAAAAGTATGGACCTCAAACTAAAGCTAAATCGTGCTGTCTCTGTTTAATTGAAGAGTATCCTAAGATTTCAAGGTAAATTATTTTTAAAAAAACAACAAAAAATCCAAACTTGTTTATAGTTGCATCTGTTTACCTATGCTGCAACTGTCATCCATAAACATTTGAGTTTGAGAGTTATCAGAACAGACATGTTCTTACTGGCCGCTTTTAAAATGATTTAGCAATACATGATAGAGTATATTAACAGTGTGAGTTCATTTTATTGATATATTTTGGATTCTCGTAAGACTTTCTTTGTTGGGGAGATAGTTTGTCTTAAAATATAGTTTGTAAACAGGACTAAATCTCTGCGGTTACTTTCAAATCTCTAAAGTAGACTGTTTTCTCCCTCTCTCAATTTGAGACCTAAAAGATAATTTTAATCATGGCTTTGAGCTAGAATTAGTGTTAAATCTGCATCAAAGAAAGGAAAATTAGGCATTTATAGTAATTGATTCTTCATTATATAATTTAACTTAAAGCATAACGTGTATAAAACAACTGAAATTTATATCAGGTATACAAATTAAGGGTATATATAAAATACAGTGATTGATTTTTCTTTTAATAAACATACTGCTTTACTGAATGAATATTATTCCTTTGAAGATTTGACTATCTTCAGAAGCAATAGTGAATGCCAATGGTGCAGTCACTGTTACAGACACTTCATTTAATTCAAATGAAATTTTGTATATAAGGTAGATTATCTAATAATCTTGCAATGTCTTTTAATGTGGTGCTCCACTAAATGTTCTTTCAAGCCCAGTTTCTTTGTACAGTTGTTTTTAACCAGTTTGTGCTCTGCATGCCGACTCTTGTGTGCCTCTTGGTTAGAGAGAAAGCAGATCCGAAAGACTTCTAGAAATATCTTGAGTAATAGCAGTTTCATTAGAGAAAGCATATTGCCTGCCATTGTTTGAGACTGAATTTTATATCAAGACTATTAACTTATACTTATGAACTCTTTGGCGTGGTATTTTGTAAAGGAACTTATTAGCAAGAGATTATGGCAATTTAAGGTCCATTTTCGAGTGCCTCAAACTAGTTTCTCTTTTTTTTGTTTGATTACTAGCTTTATAGGTACCCCCCGACCCCAGCCAAATGTACCTATTTCTGCTATATTGTGGGTGATGTAGGCTTCTGTGGGCTAATCTTGGAACATACTCCTCATTTATAAGCATTTTTTTGTTGGTTTCTTTTTTTAATGGAATGTGTTGTGAGTTCCAAGAAACTTGCTGCCAACCAGACCTTTGGAATAGAACTGTGCTTGTAAATTGGGGATGGCATCCATTTTCATTTTGCACTTCTCAGAAGTGACTGTCTTTTATTGAATGTGCTAATATTTGTTTTTCTTTCCTTTATAGTAACAAATGAATATAATGAATCTCTGCTCTACAGTCCAGAAGAACCAAAAATACTTTTCAGTATTCGAGAACCAATAGCAAACAGAGTTTTTTCAAGCAGTCGTCAGCGTTGTTTCACCTCAAAGTAAGCTTCCAAAGTTGTCTTGTGGCTGTTTTCCTCCCTTGTAATTATAAAGCACAGTTGGCTTTAAAAGTGTTCATTTCATTAAATTCACTCCTTCAAACTTAATCTAGCAGGGAAAGTAGAACCTGTAGAACTAAAGAGGTGTCATGCTAACCTGGCTAAAGTAATATTTTGTCTAACACTTAGGGTTCCATTTTAGAGAAACTAAAGTTTAAGTTAATAGAAAGGAGAACATAGTTATTTAATTGGGTGATGTGGGCTTGTTTGTTTACTCTAGTAAGACACAGTAAGATCAAATTATCACTTCAAAAGAAACTGACTGGAAAGCAACTTTTTTTTCATATGCTGTGGCATAAAAGCAGGACATGCAGTCATACAAAGTCTAACCTGTACAGCAATATAACTTTAGAGTAGGATTCATTGCTTTCAGCTTTTCCCTAAAAGTGAATCCCCCCCCCCACATCTATTAAATTTGCCTTGGATTGTTTTTTGAGGGGAAGAGGATATACAGACATGTTTGTAATTTCTTATTTTGTAAAGGTTGCCCAATTTCCCAAACTAACAAGAAAACCTACTATAATTCTGAAAAACTGTCATCTATCTCATGGCAAGCAAAGAACAGTTTAATTACAAGTTGCTGCTTATAGTGTGCATATAGTTTTTTGAAAATACACAACTGAATTTTTGCAGGAAAGACACAAAAAAGGAAACTCGTCATACTTAACAATCACTTTATCATTTGAGAGTTAATTTTGATTAATCAACGAATCTATACTCAGTTTGGGTGAAACTGTAAAGATTCATTTAAATGTTTGCTCATATAAGTAGGAGAATAGCTTTATGACTTTGGTGGTTGGAAAATATTTCTTAGCAACAAGTTTGATAAATTGAACTACATTAGAGTTAAGAACTTCCGTTAATCAAGACACCATTAAGAAAATAAAAAGGCAAGCCACAAAGTGAGATAGTCTAGCAGTGGACTCATATCCAGAATATATTTTAAAAATTCCTACAAGTCAATAAGAAAAAGACAGGCAACCCAGTAGAAAAATGGCCAAAAGTCATGGACATGCATTTCACAAAAGAGAATATCCAAATGGCTGATAAGTATATGGAAAAATATCCTTGACCTTATTATTCATCTGAGAAATATAAATTAAAACTACATAATATGATACCACACACACCAGAATAGCTAAAATACCAGTTGTTGATAAGGTGGAGCAAGTGGGACTTTTATGTACTACCATTAGGAATAGTTTGGAAACTTGTTTGGCAGTTACCTACCAAAGCTGAATATAGTGCATGCAGTGACCCAGTAATTCTGCTCCAAGATATATACCCAGCAGAAATGTATACACTGACCAGAAATTTGTGCACCAAAAGACATGCTCAAGAATATTCATAGTAGCACTATTCCCAATAGGTAAAAACCCAAATGTCCATGAATAGTAGAAGAGATACTTAAATTTGGGTATTTTTGTACAATGCCAGTGTTTTCAGACAGCAATGAAAATGAACACATGGCTGCTACAGGTAATAACATGGATGATTTCACAAACATGCTATTGAGCAGAAGAAGCCAGACACGGGCATACCTATTGTGTTCTTCCATTTATATAAAGTTCAAGAATAGACAAAACTATTACTACTATGGTAATTGAAATTAGGATAGCAGATATGCTTGGGAAGGAGGGGCTGGAGGTAGAGACTGGGAGATGGGAGTAAGAGCAGTGAGGGAGCTTCTGGGGAGATGGGTAACATTCACTTCCTAATTTGGGTGTTGATTACGCAAGTGTGTTCATTGAGCTGTACCCTAATAATTTGTGCCTTTTCTGTATGTTGTACGTAAATAAAAATTTTACATGAAAATATTTACATTCTTGCTCACTACTTAAAATACTTGTAGTGGTAATAACTCAACATTCAAAAGCCTATGAATTCCATCTGAACTTGTTCACTGATAAATGTTTGGGTGAATGGAGCTCTCCTGAACATTTAAGTTTTGAGATTTTTTTGATAATGTACCCATGTATTCACATAGTCACTAATTCTCTCATATCAAAGAGCAACTTGATTTTTAAAATCAAGGCCAAATGATCTATCTGCCAATTTAGATGAAAATGAAGTGTTTAAAAGAAACTGTAATTTAGGATTAAGAAAAGTGTTAATATTTAATGAGATGTTTCTTTCTGCTTAGGGTTTGTGTTCGTTCTCGTTGTTGGGATGCCTGCATGGTTGTAGATGGAGGAACTTCCTTTGAGTTTAATGATGGAGCAATTGCTTCAATGTTGATCAATAAAGAAGATGAGCTTCGAACTGTCCTTCTAGAACAGTGAAGGATTTCCTCAGATGACAATTTTGATTACTGGAAAAAATAGTTTTACTGTGGAAACAGACTGCCAGTCATAAGGCTACATTTTTTGGTTATTGTTGAGATTGGTTGGCCTTGGGCTCAAAGGTGATCAAGAAAGTGAGATTTGTATTATTCTTCTGTTGGATTCTGATGGAAAAGATATTCACTGTGTAAGAAAATGGATGGACTAAATTGATTAGAATTCGTACCAGTGAAATTTCTATATTGCTTACAATTGGTTTCCAAGAGTGCTGATATCTTTAAATTTAGAGAGGTAGGCTCCAATAAAAGATTAAATGTTTAAGATTTGAAATTTAACTGTATAAGCTTTTTTTCCTTCCTTTTCTTCCTAATTTTGTGGAATTGGTCAGACCAAACACATCTCATTTGATTAGTATTTTTTTATAGTACCTAAAATTCAAGATTTTTTAAAAGATTTGGTGATGGAGAATTTTGATAAATCCTGACATTGACCTAACTGAAGTAGGTAAATGTGTTTTTTATATGCTAAGAGTTTTCTAATTTCAGAACACAATGATATTGTTATGACTATTGATTTAAAAAATTCAAACAATCATTTTTGAAATTATTTATAGATGTTTTCATTTAATTGACTGTCAGGTTAATTTTGACAATGCTGGGTGAAATATATCTGGACAAAATCATGACACCGTTTCAAATGTATTAATTATCCAATAACTATTTTAGGTCTTAGGTAATTTTTTTTTTAATGATTTGAGTGTCTAATAAAGTTCTTCCTTATTTACAACTATCTAATATGGATTCAAAGACTAAAAGGATGAACTAATTAGACATATTCTATTAGGAGTTTGGTAAAACCTTAAAAAAAATATTTTCATCTAGTGTAGGAGTATTGTCAGAAAGAAAATGGATTATTTAATAAATATGCAAAACACTTTAGTTTTGGAATTGCCTTACTTATTATCATGGTAGTTTTCACCTAACTTATATTCCAAGTTTTACACATTAGCTTTGGAGGATAAAATGTTATGGCTTTTCTTTTTTTCCCATTATGACAGTTTCTTTACCTAATTCCTGATCTACTTATAAGTAATCCTAGAATTATCACAGAAAGTACCTCTTGCTGCATCATGAGACAATTGGTATTCTCATTCCAGTTATTCAAAGTTGTTTTTTTTTTTTCACTTGCTGTTAAAAGCTTTTCTTCAATCACTGAAATATTTATTGAATACCCACTCAGTGCCGTGTACTGTGTCAGGTGCTAGATATACATTGGTAAAGTAAACAGACTCTATCATATAGAACTTGAGTCTAGTGAGCTCAGAAGTAAATTCTGTGAAAGCTAGGATGTATTATAATCAAATCGAGTGCTCTTAGTTCTGGCAGCATTTATCATGTTCTTGTCAAAATTTTTATATAAATGTTACTATACAAAGATAATCTAGGTTTTGTTGTATATCCAGAACAAGAACCTGTTTTTTTTTCCTTAGTTAAGAGTATCTGCGTAGACACTAATAGCAAGGAGTTTACGTGATGCATACAATAAAAATTGGTGTTTTCCCAGAGATGGATCTAATTTCTTGTTTGATTTAAAAATGATATACTTAAGATGCCACTTTAGAAAGAAGTGAAATTCCACACTATAGAAACTCCCTAACAGGTTTAAAATACCTTTTTGACAAAAATGCCAACTCCATCTTTAATATCAAGGAAATCCAATTGTCCAAAATGGTACCAGAGATCTGTTTAATATGTAACATATTAATAGGTAACCTGCTATGTAAAATTGTTCATAAGCCATATTTTAAAGGTTTTAAAAATACTTAATGTGCTTCCTTTGTGATATAACTTCTAACATTTCTGCTCTGTGGTGGGGATTTATTTGTAAGAGATGATGAGAGGCAAAGGATGTTTGAATAGCAAAAATGTTTTTATGAATGAGTTAACCTTTTCATGGCAACTACATGTGAATAAAATTAAACCATTGTTATCTTTTCTTTTTTAGTTCATTTCTTTAGCTCTTATGGGTCATTATTTGAAAACCAAATTTCCCCAAAATGTTATGTTTCAAGAGTTTTTTCCCCACTGCTATGTATTACTCTGTGCGCTTTGACTTCATTCACTGCTAATGTGACACAGTGCTTCCTGCTAAATGTAGACTCATCAGACAATTTTGAGTTAATATTTTTGATGCTCCATATGTATTTATATTCATGGCCCTAGTAAATCAAATCATATTACATGAACTGCTGAACTAGAAAGAGGAATTCTTTATTTCAAATGTAGTTTATTCTTGTTAACATTAAAAATAACCATGAAGGGGTTTCCCTGGTGGCTCAGTGGTTGAGAGTCCACCTGCCAATGCAGGGGACACGGG